GCCTTTAGTTTAAGGAAAGAGAACCAAACATAACTTTTTAGGGGTGTTTGAGGATCCGTTCAAGGAAAACATTTGAGAGTCACAGGAGATAGAAGTTAAGAACATTGCTTTGGAGTCAGACTGCCTGGCTCATCCTCTGGCTCTGCCACAGATTAGCATTGAGCAAATTACTTCTCTCTCGAAGCCTCAGTTTTCACATCTGTGAATTGGGGATCATAATGATTTTGAGACTTCAACAAAATGAGACCTGTTAAGCCTTGCACATGTCGAGCACTCCTTAAATGTTACTTATAATTTTATCATGGTTAACATACACCCATGCCCACACCCTTGAAAATCGATAAATAGATATATAAGAATAGCCAAATTACTACCATATGAGATAAATAAGTGAGGGTTCAACCCCCAAAGGGATGGGCTGACGACCAACATCATCTCTGCACATCAGCAAAGAAAATCACTGGCTCTCAGAACTGCAGAGCTACATAATCCAGTCTCCCCATGTCATGGCTGAAGCAGAAGAGACCCAGGAAAGGCTCCACTGCCTGGTGACAGCACTGTGATTACTATCCCAGGGTTCCGACTCCTCGTCTGCCAACCTTTGGGCCTCACCATGTCGCCCCTCCCCAGCGTGGATATACGAGTACAGTTATCACATCATTACAATATGGAACATCTCATTTCAGATCAGCATCCCATTGACAGGATGAGAACTATTCTTAGGGAATCCTTACAGAGACAGTTAAAAAAAGTTTAAAAAGCAAGGGGCCACAGCTAACATCATACTTAATGGTGAAAGACTAAATTTTTTTTCCCTAAAATCAAAAACAAGACAAGGATGTTCATTCTCACCACTTCTATTCAACATTGCACAGGAGATCCTAGTCAGGGCAATTAGAAAAGAGAAATAAAATACATCCACACTGGAAAGGAAGAGGTAACACTATCTCTATTCACAGATGACACAATCTTGTAAATAGAAAATCCTAAGAAATTCATTGTACAATATACAAAAATAAATCATATTTCTATTTATTAGCAATGAATAATCCAAAAATAAAATTAAGAAAACAACTACATTTGCAACAGCATCAAAAAGAATCAAATAATTATCAATGAATTTATGAAAAGATATGCAAGATATACACATTGAAAATCATAAAACATTGCTAAAAAAACAAAAATCTAAATAAATGGAAAGATATACTATATTCATAGATTAGAAGACTTACTATTGTTAAAATGGTAATACTTCCCAAAGTAATCTACAGATGCAATTCAATCCCCATCAAAATCCCAGCTTGTTTTTTTTTTTTTTTGGCAGAAATTGACAAACATCATGAAATTCATATTTCAAAACTTACTACAGTAATCAAGACAGTGTGGTACTGACATAAGGACAGACATACAGATCAATGGAACGGAATGATTATCCAGAAATCAATTTAGGATCTTACATTTATGGTCAATTGATTTTTGATGAGGGCATCCAGATAATTCAATAGGGAAAATAGTCTTTTCAACAAATGGTGCTGGGACAACTGAATATCCATATGGAAAAAAATGAACTTGGACTGGTGCCTTATATCACACACGAAAATTAACTCAAAATGTATCGTAGACCTAACTCTAAGAACTAGAACCGTAAAATTCTTAGAAGAAAACCTAGGAGTAAATCTTAATGACATTGGATTAGGCAATGAATTTTTAGGTATGACACCACAGCACAAGTGACAAAAGGAAAAATAGACAAATTTAACTATTTCAAAATTTAAAACTTTTGTGCTTCAAGAGATATCATCAATAAGGTGAAAAAGACAATCTACAGAACTGGAGAAAATATTTGTAGATCATATTAGCTGATAAGAGACAGGTGTCCAGAACATATAAAGAACTCTTACAACTTGATAATAAAAAGCCAATTAACCCAATATTTTAAATGGACAAAGGATTCGAATACATATTTTTCTAAAGAAGACACATACAAATGGCCAATAAGCACAGGAAAAGATGCTTCATCATTGGTCATTAGGGAAACGCAAATGACAACCACAATGAAATACCACTTCACACCACCAGGATGGGTAAAATAAAAAAGACAGATAGGAAGTGTTGGTAAGAATATGGAGATATTGGAGCCCTTACACGTTGCTGGCTGGAATGTAAAGTAATGACGCCACTTTGGAAAATAGTACGGCAGTTCTCCAAAATATTAAACATACAGTTACCATATGACCCAGCCATTATACTCCTAAGTATATACCCAAGAGAAATAAAAACATATGGCCAAACAAAAACGTGGACACAGATGTGGATAGCAGCATTATTCATAATAGCCAAATAGTGGAGACCACCCAAATGTCCATCAACTGACGAATAAATAAATAAAATGAGGCAAATCCAAAAAATGAAATATTATTTGGCAGTAAGAAAGAATGAAGTACCGATAGACGCTACAACATGGATGAATGGTGAAAAAATTTTGCTAAGTGAAAGATGCTAAAGACCACGTATTATACGATTCCATTTACATGAAAGTCCAGAATAGACAAATCTACAGAGATGGAATACTGATTAGTTGTCCAGAGCTTCACAACTACCGGGTACAGCATTTTTTTGGAGTAATAAAAATGTTTTAAACTTAAATTCTGTGGACAATTGCACAAATTTGTGAATATACTAAAAAACCATTAAATTGTGTGCTTTAAATGGGTGAATTTTAGGCTATAAGAATTAAAGCTCAATAAAAATGTTAAAAAAATAAGTGGACTTGCTATCTATAAAATTAAAAAAGAAAAAAGGCAATGGGGCCTTGGGGGTTAGGCAGAGCTGGGTTTGATTACCAGCTCCCCAGCAACTAGCTGCGTGGTCTTAGGCGAGCTTCTGCACTACTGTGAGCTCAAAAACTGTAGCTTTGTATCATTCGACAGGAAGGAAAGTAAGGAGAGGCTTACAGCGAGGGCAGAACCAAAGTGATCCTCCGGGGTGAAAGGAGCACATCCAGGACCACCAGCTAGACTCTGATTTATTCCGCAGTCTCTGTCCTTTCCCCAGAAGAAGGTGCCGTTCCTAAATACCCACCATTGCACAGTGGTGCCCCAGAGCCGTGGTGCGTGATGAGTACTGACCACAACTCTTCCCGCGGGCAAGAGCAGCATCCGTGCATCAGACAGCAACACGTGCTCCATCTTTATCTCCCACCTGTGGCTAGATTTGTAGCAGGGACAGAAGCATTTGCAATGCTAACATATCTGAGGAAACACTAGCAGAATCCTGACGATCAAGTTCTAGGCCATTTTTATCTCACACCGCTCATTGGGGAAGGTCGTTTCCCCCCAGTGCCCACAAGGCATTAGACGCTTTGAGCTTTGCATTCTCAAGAGCATAATGAAAATAGATGTTGAACGCTAAAACATAAACATATGTATCATTCATAATGCATTCAGATGTTTTTTAATTATTCATGGTTCCTGAAAGTTATTTGACCTATCATGCATATATATCCAAGCAATGTTTACATCAGAAACACAGCCTCAATGCCTGCAATTCCAGCTCCTTGCATTCCCGTCTGTGGAATTAAAATTAAATGAGTCAGTGGTCAGTAAAAGTTACATGTGATTTCCATAAAACTATCCATTGTATATTGCTCTGTGGTGGAAGTTGCTGAAGCTGACAGAACACAGAATGCTTGCTTTCTGATGAGGGTGACTGTGATTAGTCTTTCCTACAAATGAATTCATTATTTCCCTGAATAATTGGTGGTTTTGGTCTTGTTCTTCATTTAGAGGGAAAAAACTCAGAAGGCCACCCTCTCTGTCTTCTAAATCCTGTTTTCTTAAAAAAAAAAAAAAAAAAAAACAGTATTCGGGGCCCAAAAACACCACATTCTTCTGTTTTGGTGCTTGCATAAATTTGCATGTTAACATGAATAGTTCCAACTTAAAGAATGTAAAATAAAATAAAATTTGAATTTAAATCCAAGATGAAGAAAAAACACATGTAAGAATAACAGATTTTCAATCTTATTGATTTTTTTTTCCAGGAACCAGATTAGGAAAGACATAAACACATACACACGCATGCACACGCACACTTTTGGTTTCAAAGAAGGGCAGCATTCAGTGACAGGCACTGCTAAAGAGGTCCCCCTCCCCACACACATACTAGGAGTGTTTACAGATTGCAGCACAGATCCTGAAGCTCTGTTTTAATGACTGAATGCCACCATAAAACTCAGAAATATGACTCAGAGAACATGCTCACCATCAGTTCCTACTTCTGGAGGCCCACCCAGATAAAACAAAATAGAAGGAATCTTGTGTGAGTAGCTCCAGCAAATACAGGTACGAATTTGCCTCCACCGACCCTGAAAGCCATTTCTCACTTTATTTTCTCATTTCCCCATTGCAGTTGGAAGGCAGTATGGTATAGTGGTCAGGTGCACAGACTTCGGAACAGACAGACCTGGGTTGGAATCCCAGATCTACCCACCATTTACTGGCTGTGTCACCTCTGGCAAATGACTTAATTGGTAAGACGTAACTTTTTTCCTAAGTTTTCAGTTACATAACAATAGTACCAGCCTGATAGGCTTATAGCAAGAATAAAAGGAGATAATATAGTGCACTTCGAACGGTGCCTAGCACACAGCAAGCATTTAGTGAGAGCTATCTGTCGGGGTGGTGGCTGGTACGCTGGTGATTACTATTATTACTCAACATTTAGTGATGATATCCAGAGGAACCAGGCCTGAAACTGTTTCTTCCTCCTGAAACTTGCCTGCTTATTTCGTCCAGACGGCACCACTGAGGAAAGAGAGACAGCTCAAGTCATGGTGAAAGCCAGCTGCCCGTGAGCTCGACTGCAGGACAAGGAGACGCCGTGCTGTCGCTCCGTCCTGCCCCCCAAGCCCCACCTCCCTTCACTGTGGCGTTCCAAATGAAATGACAGGAGACTGGACAAGCAAGGGCGACAGAGAGCAGCAAGCTCCAGCTTCTCACCTCGTCATCACTCGCGTTCATATTTGGTTCCAATTTCCGGACGACAGACTTGTCGCTCTCCTTTAGCATCTTCTCTCGAACTTTGGTTTCATACTCAGGCCGGGAGTGTTCCTAAGCCAAAGAGTCAGGGAGTGGTTAGTAAACAGGAGGAAGGGTGACCTTGGCCTGTGGGTTATAACCAGACACAGCAAGTACGGTAAAGTCAGGGGCTAGGACTGGACGCTACTGGATGTGAACTGGCACACCACAAACAATCACGAGGAGTCTAGACCAAGAACGCAAGGTGGGGGAGAGAAAGGGCACGCACGACACTTGCTATCACACTGAAAACCAAACCTGGGCACGTTCCTGCGGACAGCACCAGTGTTGAGAAAGGAGAGAGGACATGTTAACTGGGAAGCTGATACAAAAAGAAGCCACGTGCTTTGCATAGTGGTTTGACCAAAGGCAGAAGAATACATCTGGCCATCCACCAAGTATCTGCATACTCAGACTTAACTTTCAATGAGCCAAATCCCAGCTGGAGAAACAGATGTGCCCCACAGCTGGGAGTTAGGACAACAGCAAAACTTCTCCCGTGCTCCATCATTCTATGAGCTCAAATGGCAACCAATAAACATCAAAGTCAAAGGTGGCCATAGGGAATCTTAAAACTCACTTGCCTGGACCTGTTTCCTGTACAGCCTAGGTGAGTAACTCATTGGCAAGTGCACCAATGCTCAGGAGACATCACTGGGCCACTCAGCGATACAAACCTGAACTGTGAGTCACTATGCATGGGAAAGAGCACCTAAGTCCTCAGAAGGGCCACCGTCAAATCTATGCGGATACAGGGCGGAAAGATGCACGACTCACTGCACAGACATCCTAACAGTGTACACCTGGCCTGTCTGGCAGGTCCTCCCTGCAGCTTCCAGCTCAAGGACAAATAGCTACAGCTGTGGGGACTTCCTGTTCCTGCAACATTTACTGATAACGCCTAGGCAGGGATTCAGGTGCTGGCTCCACCGTTCGAGAACACACACTGCCTTATCACCACACATACACCAGATTCCAGTGGCCAACAAGCCAGGCTCTTGATTTGCCTCTGACCTGCCTCTGGCTTTCCCAAGACATGCTACGATATTTGGGAGGAGAAACCATGCAAGTGACTAACAAGCACAACCAACACAACAGCAGGCGATGCCATTCAAGTGTTCACTAAGGCCTTGCTGCATCACCCAATCTCAGGCACATCGGTCACGGGCCTTCCAGGAGGCCTTCCCTGCACTGTGACATACCTACCAGGCTGGGTCTGCTCCCTCTCCAGAGTCCCTGAGCTTTAAAGCTCACACCACACACTGTAGCTCTTGATGACGAGCTTTTCTTTTATTACTTCCTAACTGTTTTGCATATGAGAGTCTTCTTATCCTAACATAAGTACGGGCTACTTGCTCTGTATCACTCTGCGTGTTTCACAGTAGTGGGCACCATGCAGAACACACAGAAATCTCTAAACGCCTGTGAAGCTAATAGATTTTTTTAATATATATCATTTATTTTTTTATTTTAATTTATCAATATACAATATAGTTGATTTTCATGTCCCTTTACCAATTCCTCCTTTTCCTCTCTCCCCTCCCCACCATCAACATCATATCTGTTCACTTGTCTTACCAAGTTCAAAGAATTGTTGTGTCTTCTTCCCCACCCCCATTTGTTTGTATATTAATTTATTTATTTTTATTAGCTCCCACAAATAAGTGAGAACATGCGGTATTTCTCTTTCTGTGCCTGGCTTATTTCTCTTAATATAATTTTCTCTCTTTCTGTGCCTGGCTTATTTCTCTTAATATAATTTTCTCTCTTTCTGTGCCTGGCTTATTTCTCTTAATATAATTTTCTCTAAGTCCATCCATATTGCTGTGAATGGTGGTATTTCATTCTTTTTTTACAGCAGGAAGCCCACTTGATTTTTATCCCTTGCCTTCATCCATTCTCCAGCACACTGTTCCCTAAAGTGTGTGCCAAGAGAGTTTTCATTTTAAAAGTATTCCAGGGTCTAAAAGGTTAACAAACACTGCACAACGTATCAGCTTTCTGAGAGTCATGATGAGCATGTTAAAAGCTCCGAAAGTGCTACCACGAAGACACTTGATTAATTTTCTTAAGCCCACCGTCTCCTACACAACAGCTCTGCCGATAACAGTTAATGTTCTGCACAAATACTTTGAAAAATGTGGTTTGAAGTCTTCCTTCATGGCCCCTGATATTTGGCTGCTTTTCTTCTACATCATTTCAATGGAAGATTTTAACTAAAAACTAGCAGTATCTTTGTTGAGTTTTATAATGTGGGTCTAAAACTCTTCAAGCCAGAGGAGCTTCTCCTATTTCACATCCTGCCAAGGGCTGAGGGAGGCTGGTCTGACTGACTGGCAGGGTGCTTCCAACCTGTCCTGGCTTCCCAGGACATGCCATGACATCGAGAGGAGCGTCCTGTATCCCGCTAGCTGTGGCTGTGGCCCACCTCACCCCATGCCTGGCCCCAGTTCAGAACCCCCCCCTCATCTGTCTAGAGCCAGCCCCACTTTCCTAGCACTCAGAAGGGAGACCGAAACTCAAAGCAGAGTCTGTTGTGCATATCAGCTGAAACAGGTCAGACAAGGATAGCCCTGTTTGCAGCCACGGAAGTCAGGTGAGGTTACAGAATCCCTCAAAAGCTGGACAGCTGAGCTCCTGGCCAGAACAGAATCTAAACCCTATGAGGGCTGCTTCAACACACCCAGTAACAAGCGGATCAGCCTTATTCCTGATGTTCCCCAAACACGACCCCCCTAAATAGGCCATCTGATGCCAGATCACAAATACATAAGCCCACCCACCAAGATGCTGGGAACTATTTCCATCTGTGGCCTGGAGGAAGGCCTGGAGCTCCAGGAAGCTTCCTGGAGGAAAAACCCAGGACAACTCAGGACCAACCTTGGCTGATCTAAAGAGGTAAATCCAGATATACATTCAATAAATGCCTTCAAAGTTATCAAGCACCTCCTGTGCTCTGAGCTCTTTTCTAGGCCATTAGGCTACTGCACTGCTCCTACGGACAAGGGCCCTCCCTCCAGGGAGCTCATCTTCAAGTGGAGGGAGGTAGCAGTCAGTAAGCCAATACACAAATAAGAAACTAGCAAATGAGGATAGGAAACACAGAAGAAAGAAAGCAGGACAGGGAGTCAGGGAAGGCCAGTCTGAGGAGGGTAACGTTTCCACTGAGACAGAAAAGCCAAGAAGGGACAGGCCCCGTGGACACTGAGGAAAGCGTTCTATGCAGCAGGAACAGCTAACACAAAGCCTGGAATGGGCTCGGGACAGAATGGAGGCCTGTGTGGCTGAAGGTCTGAGCAAGGAGGAGCACGGCATGTGCTGAGGTCAGAGAGACAGGCAGGGGCTTTGTTTCTTACGGCACAGGAAGCCAGTGAAGACATCCAGAGTTTGGTGTGATGGGTGAGAGGTGGAGAGAGACGGAGGGTCAGGACATCTGTGTTCAGATAAGGCCACACTCTCTAAGAAGTCCCAGGAATGCCTGGGCCTGATGTGGCAGAAGCTGATGGGGCAAGAAAGGCCCACTTCAGAGCAAAAGATGCTGGAGGTCTGGAAGGCCTCTCTTCAGCAAGGACAAACAGGACCCAAAGAAGCCCTTCAGTGAGTCTCTGGGTGGTGTCCACAGGGACCCCCACCCCCACCCCCACCCCAGGCAGGGCTGCTCCGCCCAGCGGGTTGGCTCCTGGGCTCGGTTGCTTGCTTCCTTCCCAGCCCTCGTAGTCTCTGGTCTTTCTCAGGCCTGTCCTTGGTTTACAAGCTGCTCTTGAGCCAGTGCTTGCTCCACCTCTCCTGGGATGGCCCACATGGGGACACCCCAGGTGGGAGGGACAGAGGGTGAACAGGCTCTGTCTGAGTGTTTCCTAGTGAGGACCACAGGGAAGAATGATGTCCTGAGGTTACAGACAGCCAGTCTTGGGAGTATTCCTCATGCTGGGAGACGATGTCGGGTTAAATAGAAAAACTTCTGACCGTGGCCTTCAAGGACACCTGCCTCCCTGTTCCCAATGCCCGAGTAACATCTGACTTCCTCTTTCCCCTCAATTGGATGCAGATTAATCCTGCTTCAACACACGACACTTCATCTGAGTCCTGGGACTCTTCTACAGTCACACATACCTTGCCCATCCTGTCCTCCCTGCCTTCCTGTGGCCCACAGGACACCAATTAGCAGTCACTGCCCTCCCTGACCTGGCCACCAGACTATGTACTTGTTTCTTTGACCCCACTGCATCCCAAGCCCTGTCTCCTGCAGCCAGCCAGACTTCTGAAGTCTCTTGCTGGTATCTCCACCCCTAGCTTTCCCGGGTCTAGGCTTCCGCTTGCTCTTTCCTCCTTGTGGGTACCCTTCTGCCCTTCGCTGCTCAGAAAAATTCAACCCATCTTCAAAACCCTGACTTTTTTAAAAGCATTTCCTCTTCCTACATTAGCCAGAAAGAATTTTTCTCACCATTGTATTCTAAATATTTACAGACCAGACAGCACCCTGCTGAATGTCACCCTTTGGGGATCGGAGACTCTGCCCGAGGCAGCTCCGCACTGCGTACCAAAACCTGGTACATAGCAGGTGCGGGGATGTTCAGAATGAGCTGAATTATAAGTGTGCTTGATATCCTAGTCTAAATAGAACCACACCAAAGGAGAAAGCGGGCTGGCCTCCCTCCCTCTCTCTCGTGCCTGGCCCTGGCAGTGCACATGTGGGGCACACCAGCCAGCCTCATAGTCACCCCACACAGAGATCCCCCCAGGAACGTCTCCTTGTGCCAGGGTAAACCCAGGCTTGGCCAGACCACTCTCAGCCTTCGCATGAGTTCCTCAAATCATGCACCTCCCAGGAAGTCACCATGGTTCATTAGATTAAACAGGAAAGTAGAAAACCTGGCTACAGAGAGAAAAATGGATTACAATCCCACTCCTGCCAGGGCCCTGTTACAGAGATTTCAAGGGCATTGAGTCATAACCCGATGCTTTCCTGTATGAGAGTGTTTACACTTCCTGCCTATCAGAGAGGTTGCTGGCTTCAAGTCTGCTCAGCAGACACACTCAGCTTGTCCCTGGCCCCACACAGGCTTGGATGTCAAGATGTTTGTTCTTGTCCCCAGAGATATCCTGGCCCCCTGCAATAGGAAAGATTAGGAACATAGGAACTTCACCCCGACCACCTCCCACAGCCAAGCCAACTCTCTCTCTCTCTCTCTCTCTCTCTCTCTCTCTATTTCTCTGTTTCTCTCTCTACAGAGAGAGAGAGAGAGATACATATAGACATATTTCAGCTGAATCAAATGGGACCAATGGGACAAAGATGTCCCAACTGGATCACCCACAGTCTAACTTCTATAGCTCTTTCTATTGAAAGCACCAGAGCACCAGTTCCAGCATTTTCCTCCAAGAAAGGCAACTGCCTTGATTATTCTCTATTGCTTCTCTTCTTAAGTTGAATCCTCTCTGAAGGCAGACTTCATCTATACATTCTGCCATTTGCCACAGGATCCATGATGGCCTTGGGTCTCGGGGTGTGTGCTGAGCACATAGGGCTGGAGTAGAGTGGGTGCATGTGCTCAATACATGGCAACGCAGTGGGGTGGGATGGGTGCAATCAACCGAAAGCCCATGGTAGGTGGGGAAATCTACATCATCACACCTCTCCTTCTAGCACTTTTAGGCAGCACAGCCTGGATTGGCAGATTTCATTCCATGCAGCTGCCCTGTGGCTCCTGCCATTTCTCAGCCCATCTGCTCAAAGGCAAGTTGGCTAATTAGAGCATTAAGGGGAAGAAATGATAACCTACCATGCACAGGCTTGAGAAAAAGGCTAAATCGGGAATTTCACCGCTTGCCCGTAAAACATCAGGGCCACAAAGCCAGAGGCCCCGAGTCTAAGGCAAAGCACATCAGCCACTGTGGGAGAGCAGGGAGAAGGTCTGCTCTCTGCGCAGTCACCCTAGTGTCTGTGGCTAGCCTTTGCGAGCAGGTACCCAGGAACTGAAGGTGCCTCCTGGTCCTTCTGCACAGAGGCCCCAGCACCTCAACCATGACATCCACAATACCAGAAGTTCCTAGTCAACATTCACACTGACTGTTCAGTCTGGGGTGGTGTGTTATCAGAGGGGCTGGCTGAGCTTGGAAGCAGAAGAGGGATGGAGCGGGGACTGCCGGCTAGAGCAGGAGGGCTTCCGGTGGGATAGAGAACTGTGAGCAACTGGTCCCTGCTCATCCTCCTCAACAAAAGAGCCCTGAGGGAAGACTGGCTTGTTTACACTCCTTAAGCATTGTTTGCGAGAAAACTAGACTCCAGAAGAACCTATCCTCTGCCCTCAGCTCAGCCTCCAGTGTCACACACAGTGCACACGGTGGCTTAGTCATTCTTCTCCCAAGAGCATCAAAGGCAGCCAGCGCCCGGCACCCAGGCCTGTCCCTTGACCCTCACAGAGGCATTCTGACATATCCTGCACACAGGAGCAATTCTAGTCTCTGGCTTCATGCTCTCAAGGCTACCTTGTGCCTCTTGTTCTTGCGTCTTGTGCCATCTCTTTTCCCCAGGTGGGGCGCTGGGACATCCAGCTACCCAGCAACCCGGTGTCTTCCAGCTCAAGGAAAGAGGGGCCACTTGCATATCACGCATATCAACCACAGCTTTCTACAAAAGCAGCCACCGTGAGACCCAGCTGGCAGCTATCTCACTTAAGAGAGTCTCCAGAGTCAAAGCAAGGCAAGGGCCCAGAGAAGCAGGCAAGAGAACTCACTTCTTCTTCTTCTATGCCAGTCAGGTCCCAGAAGTAGCCCAGCCGCATCTGTAGTCTCTTCCAGTTTTCCAGAAACATGGTGGCTTAAATAGAGAGAGAAAATTCGATTATATTTGAAGAATGGATTCTGAGTACCCTTCGGGTTCACTAGTGGAGGTAAAGGTAAACTCACAGATTTCTAACGTAGGAGATATCTTAGCACCTTTCTCCCTCTTCTAGCTGGAATTGCTCAAAATTCTTTATCCTTGGGAGCCAGTAGATACATTAAAGATGCGTGCACACACGTGCACACACACACACACACATACACACTCCTTTCCCCACTTCTAGGTTGTGAGAAGAGGATGAACACAGATCCCAAGAAATGAAGGAAGAACGGAAGGATGAAGGAAATAAAAACAGAGGGGTTCGTGGTCTTTTCTGAAAAGCCTTACCTGGCCTGTGTGCACACTGTGCCGAGCTGCACCTTGACCAGCACTCTCACTTTTTCCCCATTTCTTCTTGTCCCAAGCACCACTCTCCTTTTCTGGGCCCTAATCATCTCATTCTGAGGTTACAGAACAGTCTCCTAACAGTTCTACCCGACTCCAGGCTCTCGGCCTTCCAACCTTCCTCCATGCAGCTGATGGAGCAATCTCTGGACGGTAGCATCATTCATTCCTCCATTTGTTCAGCAAATATTTACAGAATGTCTGGACATGGGTCAGTTGCCTGCTCCACCCACAGCCCCTTGAAGGGCAAGCCCAGCTTGCTCTAGGAAGAACCCAACACCCCCAGCCTGCAGCCAGGGCTTGTGATACCAGAGCTAAACACCTGATCCAGGGCCCGCTGATGGACCAATCAGATTCTCTCTTCTGAAAATTGAAACGAGGAGACACAAAGAAAAGCAGCAGTGTGAGAAACCGTGCAGCACCTGAAAGGAGGGAAGGCTGGAGATTCTGAGAGCTTCTCCAGCGGCAGTTCCCAGAGGCCCAGCTGTACTTCATTTCCTACAGCCAGGGGTTTGCCTCTTGCTTTCTTACAATAAATCTTTGAGCAAGCTTGAGTGAATTTCTAATCCTGCAAAAATTCTAGCCCCAACTACAGTACCTGCAATGCACAAAACCCTGTTCTAGACCCTGGGGGGAGATGAAGTGAACCTGATGTGGATTTTGCTCTCAAGTTGTACAGAGTCTACAAGGAGAGAGTGTAACTAACTACAGTGGCAGGCATAAAGTGATCGAGGCCTTAAGAATGACACAAATAAAAAGCTGAGAGCGTGCAGGAGAGGAGAGCTAGCTGCCACAGCAGGTGTCTGAGCGGAGTCTTAATGAACAATGGCATTTGGGCAGTGGGGAAGGGCAGGGCTGCTGCCAGCAGCTGCCTGTGGACTCAGTTCTCTCTGGGTACCAGGACCCTGTATGTCTGGCCATTGTCAACACACATCTCACACTCACATTGCTGCTGAGGTCACCTCCTGTCTGTCCTCCTCATCCCCCATTCATGAAAGTTGCCCCCCTCTCCTCTGCTGTTCTCCAGTGTCTGCCGTCGTTCTCTCCTGACCCACTCACATCCCCTCTTCATACGATCAGCCCTCGCGGCCCCTGTCCTCTGCACTCCTACTGCCCTTATGGTCAGGGTGCCCTGCAAAGGGAAGGGCACCGTCACTCCCTGAGGTCACCCCTGCAGCTGTACACCACCCCGTAAGAGCCTGGGCACACTTCACTGAATGTCATGCTGACCATCAGCTGCCACTTCAGGTGTGCAGTGTGATTACAGGACCATAAACTCTCCCTGGCTCTCAGCCACCTACGTTTACCTCGGGTACTGCACAAAACCAAGTATAACAGGGCCGGCATGGTGGCGCACTTGGTAGAGTGTGGCGCTTGGGAGTGCGGCAGCGCTCCCGCCGAGGGTTCGGATCCCATATAGAGACTGGTTCCCGCTCACTGGCTGAGCGCGGTGCGGGCGCAACACCGAGGGTTGTGATCCTGTTGCCGGTCCCCAGTGCGGGAGTGACACCGGGGGTTGCGATCCCGTTACCGGTCAGTAAAAAAGACAAAAAGGAAAAAAAAACAAGTATAACAAAGACCTATGCTCTTGCTTAATATGCTGTGATTTAAAGCTACATTTGTCTTACTTGCAGCTACATTCCAGTGCATTGATTTGTATGTTTTTCTCCCTTGGATCTGAAGCTTTTGCATGTGACTGCATCCTGACCTCCTAACACTGGCATTGGCCCAGGGATGCTCTGAAGGCAGGGGAAAGTTCCTCCTCTTCCTGATGGTCTTCCCAGCACCTGAGAGGGCAGTGCACACAGCAGGGCTCAGAGCGCTGCCTGAAGGGGGCTCACAGAGGGAGGACGTCAGACAGCGGGAACAGATGAGAAGAGCAAAGGAGTGTTGGGAAGAGAAGCCACAGGGCGGTGGGGGACCTCCATGCTACTGAAGCTTGTGGCTCCCAGAAGCTGTCTATGCCCTGCACACAAACCTCTTTCACTAGTTGCAAGAACACTGTGGGGCAGGACAGTGATGCTCCAAGATTAAGCCACAAGCCAAGGTAACAGGGCACCTGGTGAGGAGTACTGACTTCAGAGGCACAGAGCCAGGTTCACATTCTCTTGCGATGGGATCCACAGCTGGCGGGGGCAGAACTGACACACTCTTAAGACTGCCTGCCCCCACATCGGTGTCCTTATCCTCTGCTAGGAGAAGAGTCCTGACGCCCTGTCTCTGTTCTCCCCTCTTCAGCAGGCTCCAGTCTTCCCCAAAGTTCCTTGGAGTTTGAAGCCAGAATGACAGGAGAGCCTGGGCCTGAAGACTCTGACAGACACGGCTCCTGCTGGCTAGGATCCTCCATGACCCCTGGCTCTGCAAATGCCACTTCCAGTACACCGACAGCCTGAGTCCCTCTCTGCATAGAGCCACTTCTTCCCACCCTGTTATGGGCAGGCCCTGGCCCGGGCACCCCAGCACAGCACCACTAGTCATAAAAACCATGGTAATGAGAGGCATTACTAATATTTTTAATTGTAATTTGTAGGCAATCCTGCCTAAGGGCTCTTGGCTGCTGTAACCAAATACATGATCACACAAAACATAGCAAGGCTGTTTTAAAAAAAAAAAGACCAAACCCTACCCTCTGCCAGGGAGCTCTGACACAATCCCTCCCCTTTGTGCTTTCCCTGCCCTGCGATATGAGAGGCAGGAGGAGGATGCAGGGGTGGGGTGGAAAGTGATCGAGGGGTGGAGGTATCTGCACATTACAGCGCTGAGGAAGAGAAGAGGCCGTTGTTAGGGCTTGAAACCGGGAAGTACAATTAAAAACCAAATTTCTCTACAACAAGGGATTATTGTCCCAGGAAAGTTCTTGAGGGATCATGGACCGGAGTTATTAAGCGTCAGCTATTCAATGATGGTAATATCTACAAGACAAATTATGGGAATTAGGGTTGTAAAGTAACAAAAAATGGATGTGTATTCCAGGTTCCAAATGAGTTCAAGAGGACCTCGGGGTAGTTACAAGAGGCCTGTGCTTGGCGAGTCACCACTGAGGACAGAGCGGCCCGTGACTTCCCAGGCAACAGCCCCCAGCTTCAGTTTGTTCCACGGACCCTTCTCGTGAACAATTCCAGAGCCACATGGTCACGAGTTCCATCTCCTCCTACTCCCTGCTCCAACTTGTGTTGTGCTGACCACTGCCCGGGTGCTCCTGGGGAGCAGCTGCTCTCCCTGAGAATAGAGAATAGAGTGTCCCCTGGAAACTTCCCTTGGTGGCCTAGCAGTATGGGAACCTTTCCAGTCAAGCTCTGTCTCCACCCAGGCAGAGGTCCCTACAGGGAACAGAGGAAGGTTGTGCTCCAGTCTCCCAACACTACTGAGAACTGACCTCTCCCTCTCTACTCTCTCACACGCTCAGGATGTGTGACTCAGGGCCCCTCCTGGCACGTCCTCCAGGCCCCATGGAGTCAGTGATAAATCAAGCAGCCTGAGCAGCAGGATCACAGTCTGCGTCCAGTGGGAAAGCTAAGGGCCTGCATGTTCAGCGATGAGTAGAAATCAGATGGCTGCTCAAATGGGCTGACACATGTTGACCTGGTCCCTTCTGTAATACACATGGGTGTGTCTCCTTAGTAATGTTCAGTTACACGGGGTGGTCATTCCAGGTTATTCCAGTTTGTAAGAACAGGAGTTCACGTCCACGCGCATGCGTGGTCAGATAGCTACAGCTCAGAGCGAATTTATTACCCTGATAGTCTGTGGGTGGGGGAGGAGGAGAAAAATGAAGGAACTATTTGTTCTTTCCTTTACAAGTCCCTTTGGAGGGAATATTGAAAACACCATTCTGGCATTAAACAAAATCTCTATAGTCCACATGCATGGTGTCCTGAAAACAGCACTGAACCTGGAGCCACGAGGCCGGATTTCAGCCACCTTTACTACTGGCTAACTCTGTAACCACCACGGCCGCTCTCCTGCTCTGAGTGTTATACTGGATGGTATCTATGATTCTACGTGACTAAGTAAATGTGCCTGGAGGTACCTTATAAATGTTCTAGGGGTTCTCAAAACATGCACTGGTTAAATTTTGAAAAAATCATACATGAGGCTTGTATAGGGTTAACATGACTATATCTAGGAGAAAACAAATAAAGCCATGAAGGATATTCTTATTTATATTCACATATCTGAGTAAAAAAGAGAAGCGGTATTGTCTTTAAGATACTTCTTGGGATATGAAAAAAACACTAAAGTAAGTAAACTAACAGATATAAGCTTTCGAGTTTGGTCACTGCACCCGTTTACAGATACCACCCATATAAGCAAGCCTTGTGATGACCACTTACCCCACAGAGCCATGAAGATGGAGAAAAAGACGGTGGCAGGGTTGTCAAACAGGTGGCTGGCCCGCGCGGTACCACAGGCTGAGCTGAGGTTCCAGTAATCACAGGACTTGTCACACAGGGGACACATGGTGAAGGCATTGTGCTGGTCACACATCTCTCTGCTGCAGTGGACAGAGGCTGCTGTCAGGTGTTGCTCAAGCAAATCACCCCCAAAACATCCCCCATTTCCAAATCTATGGTCAAGCTTATCAACTCCATAAGTAAGGAATATTAAAGAAGTTAGGATTGGATTCTTCACCGGAAGAGTGTTACTCTTGTATTTTGTCAAAAAAAAAAAAGGATGGGTCAGCTGCTGAGATATAGGGCTCCCTGTCACTAGAGGCATCCCAGAAAGTTAGTGACTATCTGTTGGAGTTATCGTGCATTGAATGATGCCTTATCAAGTCCCTTCAGAATGCGTTGAGTCTATGAGGTTAGTGGGAAGCCTCAGCGGTTGTGAATGAACCACGGCCTGAAGTTGGATTTCGTCACCCTTCTTCAAGTGCGGGCTGTCTGCTTCCACCCGGCCAACTGTCTCACAAACGTGTGACACCGGCCACAAGCAGAAAGCACTGTGAGTGTGTGGCTGGACCAGCACAGCTCTCAGCTCTAGGAGGAGAAACTGTGTGAGGGAGAGTGGAATAGATCACGGTCAGAAGCCCTTCTCTAAAGTCTTAGTTGTATGGCCATTTGCAGAATGGAGATCAATAACTTCAACCTGATAAGAATTACCATAACCAGGAAATGGGATTAGGGAGAATGGAAAAGCAAAGTACATTCTTCCAAGGTCTAGACTTTCTGGTACTTGGAGAGACAAGCATGAGCCAAATTAATTTCCAATGGCCTCTATTCTAACCTATTCTCAGTACATTTCCATTTATTGAACTGATTAATATTATTTAAATCCCATTCATTTGTTAGGTGACTAGCTGGATCCAATAAATTTAGGCTCATATAAATGCTTGAAAATAAGAACCAAAGAATTCCCAGCCCTGGCTGGTTTCTCTAATATCCCTCCACATCATCTCCTGGTAGGAAAATGAATGAAATCATCACTCGGGTGTGTAATATTCCCCCGGGGAAATGGGTGGATGGTTAAGCCCATGGTTTGGAGGGGAAAGGTGGAGAACTCCAGATTTCATGAAAATAACGAAGCACTGGCTGTTCTCACAGCGCAGGTGGAGACGCCGTGGTGGGAGCGTGGGATCCCACCCTGAAGGGCACAGCTGTGTTCTCTACGGAAAGAGGCAGCAGAGGGCGCTGCGGAGCACAGCTGATGGGGGCGGGGGGGGGNGGGGGGGGGGGGGGGGGCGCCGGGGGGCGCGCGAGCCGCTGCCTGCACTGAGGTCCCGGGGATGGCCGGGTCCAGACCCAGGAACCGAAGGGCGGGAGATTGACTGAGGCTGTCCCTTTCTGTCAAGTCCCAGCGTCTCGGTTTCCGTTTCTAATGAGCTATCGAGTCCGTGGAAGGGAAAGTCGTTCTGTGTGAGGGAATGCAAACTCTGGGTCTCAGGATAGATCCCAGTTCCTGCGCTGACTCGCTGCTAAGCTCTGCACTGGCAGGTGGCAACAAACATGACTCGTTCACATCGAAAATATTAACGAGCACTATCTCAGTCATAAGTTCAACTGCCCTGCTTCACCGGGGCATATGCTTACGGGTAACCAGAGAGCAAAGTTCAAGTCTTCTGGGTCAAACGAGCATTCACTATGCAGCTGAGAAGCAGTTGCTACCTTCAGAGAGGAGAGTACCTCTTAGAAACAGGTTTACACAGAAAATTGTTTGTCTGTATAAATTCTAGTGAGGAGCTTTGCTTTCAGTCGGTGTCTGAGAACACGGGAGTTCCTCAGTGCTGCCTTCAATGTGTTAGAGGTTCCACTTCGTTCAGTGTTTGGGTTTTTCTTTAATAATGGACTGGGGAAGGAGGTAATCCTAGTCAACCCAATCCTAGTCAAATCTAGTCAGTGCTAGAAGATCAGGAATGGAAAAAGTATTAGCAACCAACTTTGTTCAAAGCAATTTGAAACGTAAGCGCAGTGTAAATTACTGGCTTTTAAATTAGAGATCAGGCAACTATCAATCATTTGTACAAAATGGCAGCCTTATAGCATGGATTCTCCCCCAAATCACTTAAATTAGAAGTCAGAATGCTTGATAAGTATGGGGGAGGGGGTGATGCAAGAAATTTTAACAGGATTCTGGGGAAATTCTGTCTCAGAATCACATTAAGATGACTTTATATGCCCTAAGGGAGGCTACCTCCAGATCAGCTGAAACATGGGTGAAAGCCCACCCAGAGGTGAAATCATGGGGAGGCTACTCACTAGCTGCATAACACGTGGATGTCTAGTGAGCAGTAACTGTGGCTGTAAGTCTGAGTCTAAGCGTAAGAAGGTTGATAAATGGCCTGACAATCAGCTGAACCGAGACCCTACGGTGAGTGGTGGTCTTAAGAGTGAATCATTGCCCACAAGTTACGTAATACAGGGCTGTGCCGAGCACAAAAGGAGAAGGTACAAAGAGACAAGTATTCAGGAAACTCAGACAAAACATCTGCTGTGAAGGCTTCAGACCTAAAGTAACCAATTTTTTTTTCAATATGGTTTGGATTAATCAGCCTTTTTTTCTTTTTTAATGTTCCAGTCTTCCCTGCCCATGTAAGTAAGTGCTTAACAAATGAAACCAATCCTTTGGTAAGTAGAGGAAGGTTCTGTAGATGTGTCATGCACACATGGAATTATTGCTTACAAGCTTATGTTTATATCTCACATATCAAGGTTATTGGGGATAAAAGGTACCATTTTAAGTTCCACATAATCAATGTCAGTTTTCTGGTTTTGATATTGTACTATAGTTACATAACCACTGGAGGAAACTGAATGAAAGGTATACCGGGCCCTTCTCTATTATCTTTACAACTTCTTATGGATCCAATTCTTTCAAAATGAAAAGTTTCTTAAAGTGATACATAGAAAGTTAAGTCCAGGCTTACTGCCAAAATTAGCAACCTGAAATAATCCCAGGAATAGCGCAAGTTTTTAATCACACTTACAAGTGACTGATAGGCACAAACCCTTAAAGATTGTGAATTTGTTTAGATTTAATGTTGAGATTTGAAGAATACTCCTTTGCTGATGAGGAGTGGTCTTTTTTTTTTTTCCTTTTTGTCTTTTTTCGTGACCGGCAACGGATCACAACCCTCAGTGTCGCACCCGTACCGGACCGGGACCGGCAACGGGATCGCAACCCTCGGTGTTGCGCCCGCACCTCGCTCAGCCAGTGAGCAGCTGGTCTGTATGTGGGATCCGAACCCTCGGCGGGAGCGCCGCCGCGCTCCCAAGCGGCGCACTGTAGCAGTGCGCCACCGGGCCAGCCCGAGGAGTGGTCTTTTGTGAGTTTCCAACAGGCCCATAGAACTTGGACTTTTGATAGATATACAATTATGTTTAAAAAGCAGTCCTCTTTAAAAAAAAAATTCTACATGGAATCTTTTTTCTATTATTCTCACTTTCCTGATTTGCCACACCCTATCCTGAATCTGAAAAACTGACAACCAAAATTTCAATTTTGTTCTGCTCCTTTACTTGAAGGAAAAAAATTTTCAATTTTATAACAGTCATTTTCAAGCTTTTTTGACTGTGACCTACCTTTGAAAATTTCTTTACATCAAATTCCAGTAAGCAAATACATACACACCCTCACCCCCAAAAACACATGTATATAACTGAAATAAAGTCAAAATCTCATGAAACAACACTTACCCTTCGGTCTTGTAATGAATACTAATATTTTATTTCATTCTATCCTATCCTACCTTACTCTCATTCATTTAAAAAATAACCCATTAAAGGGATTCCACAACCCACCACTGGGTCTAGAATACCACACACCCTGACAGGCAGTGTGATACACCTATAACCACACTTTCAAGTGCATATCCCTGCACATCTATGCTTGCGTGTGAATGTGTGGTGTGCATGCCTGTGTATGTATAAACATCTATCTTTGCAGCATGTGCAGACCATGGTCATTTCCAGCCGCAGTGGTTCCTGACACATGTATTCTCATATGGGGAACAGGTGCACACATTCTAGGTCCTAATGTAAACCAGCACACTGCCACCCCACCCACCGCAGTGGCACTGGCTCCCTATGCACGGTATGGGGTTTTCCAGTTTTGATCAACCTGAGGTTAGATCTCCAGGGATCACAACTGGCAAGAGTAACCCAAGAGCCATGTTTCCTGAGAACACACCAGGCAAGTTCAGGGGAAGCTACTCAGCTGTCGAGGAGGCTGAAGGCCTCTGAAAGACTTCACTGTGTATTGGAAAAAGCAAACACTTCAGAGCAGAAGGCAACAGAGTTCAACTCCCAGTTCTGACAATGATTAGTTGTTGAACTTGAACAATTTATGTGACCTCACTTAGCATCGGTTCCTCCATCTCTGTCAAGCGGAAATAATCTTATGGAGGTGACAACATTGATCTCTTACAGGATCAAAGAAACTCACATATAAAAACCACCTAGCATCATGTCTGACACCAGGTAGGTATCTGATAAGTACTGATGCTTCCCTCATGCTAGACAGGCTGGAAAAGGCAGAAACCTATTAACCAGTCTCCTGTAAAGAACGTCCCAGAATCCCAATCCAGAACTCTTGACAGATGATACTAGAGTTCTATACACAAAAATATCCAAATTCTTGTCTCTTACAGCAAGTTAGTTAGCTTTATTCTAAATATTGACCATGTCACCTGCAGTTTATCTGATTTGCAAGAACATTTCTGTAGATTGCCATAGTGGCGAGAAGAGCCACCTGGCTCCTGCCCACTGGGGGACACCCCTTCCTCAAAAAGCACAGTTCTTGGCCCTTTCTTCAGGGTGGCCATTACTTCCCGTATTGTCTACCCCAACTCTAGCAGACACCCATAGTCTGACACCCATCAGCAGACACCCATAGTCTGACACCCATCAGCAGACACCCATAGTCTGACACCCATCAGCAGACACCCATAGTCTGACACCCATCAGCAGACACCCATAGTCTGACACCCATCAGCAGACACCCATAGTCTGACACCCATCAGCAGACACCCATAGTCTGACACCCATCAGCAGACACCCATAGTCTGACACCCATCAGCAGACACCCATAGTCTGACACCCATCAGCAGACACCCATAGTCTGACACCCATCAGCAGACACCCATAGTCTGACACCCATCAGCAGACACCCATAGTCTGACACCCATCAGCAGACACCCATAGTCTGACACCCATCAGCAGACACCCATAGTCTGACACCCATCAGCAGACACCCATAGTCTGACACCCATCAGCAGACACCCATAGTCTGACAACCATCAGCAGACACCCATAGTCTGCCCAGTGTCCTCGATCACCTCAGGGAACATGTCCTCAGGGAACATCATGGCGATACAGGGTGATCCTGCCCCATAACCACAAGGGATTGGTCCAGCACCTTAACCTAAGCCAAACTGAGCCAACAGGACATTTTTACTTGAGGCCAGTCAAGTATAAAGCTCTAAGATATAACACCCGTAAGCTACTGGCAGCAGTGTTTACAGCCAAATGGGGAAAAATCTGTACTGAAATCAATAAATACTAGAAAGAATCAGAGACAGGAGATAAACAGGAGTCCCTATTCTAGTGTTCCTTAGGCACCCACATGCCTGCCGCTGGGTTCCCTGAGTCACCCTGAACCCTTAGAATAAATTCCCTTTTTTGCTTAATCTAGTTCAAGTTACATTTCTATCACTTGCAACCAAAAAGAGTATTAAAATACACTAACCATGTTTCAGTTTGAAGAGGTTTCAATTTTAAATATGGCTAAGTGTCTCTTTTGTCCCTTGTGTTCTATCTCCATATATTTTGATTCATTCAACAATTATCATTAATCCTCTACTATGTGCCAGACACTGTCTCCTTTAATCTTCACAATACTGTGAGGTAGGCATTATTATTACCATTTACAACCTAGGAAACTAAGACTCAGGAAGTGAACTGTCCAGTCCCGCAGCTAATGAGCAATATGGTTCTGAAGGATCCCATTTCTAAGTGCTTATTTTCTTCGTAGGTTCTCTCTTCCCCATATAGACTAGCCTTTGTTCTACCTCTTGTCTCTCCAAGAGCCCTGCCATGGGGCTGTCACTTCCCGAACCAAAGGCTGTGCCTTCGTCACTTGCAGAGCTGCCTGCTTCCTCACCTTTTCTTTCAGCAGTGTGACCACATAGATGTGATTTCTACCCAATGCACTCCACACACCCTGCCTTGGTCTTATGGGAAAAGAAGTAAGAAATTGAAGGGGGAAAAGCATTTCTCTGGCATGATTTTTTTTCATCAGGTATTATCCACCTGCCCAAATCACACCTTGGCCATAGAGAAGAGCTTGACTAGAAAAGAAAGTGGACCATGCCCAGCATGGAGGGCTTTGGCAGGAGGTACGTGAAATGTGCTTGCAACTGGGATGAAACTCCAAAGCACTAACCTACGGGAACTGAGCCCTCTTCTTTAAAGCCGATTTACCTGGGAATATCTCCCTCGATAGTTGCACATCCATAAAGAAACACGATCACCCCAATTACAGAGGACGGGATGAGGAATGATGTGTATAATCCCAGCCAGGCAAAATACAGTCCAATTTTTTCTCCAAAATACTTCCTGGAAAAGAAAGCAAATAAAATAAAACACATATTAAGAACATTATATACTCTCCTTATTTCTGTTTGTTCTATGCTTAACAACAGGTCAACATAAATATCCATTCCTTTTTGTAATAAATACAAATGGATGGAGGTTACATGGGGAAGGGAGGACCCAGCACAAGGAATCAACAACTGGTCTTTTCTGAAATAAAGTGCATTCCATTAGGATCACATACGCGCACCTGCCTTGGCTGTTCATGTGAAATAGATAGCCGTGAGAAGAAATCCAGCCCTAACAGCAAACTAAAAATACGCCATAAATTTTGGCGTCTTTACCAAACATGAATAACACATCATTATTTCATGAGTGCCATGGTACTCACCCACAGGAAAAAACACCTTTTTGGAACTAGCTTATTTAAACAAAACACACAGATCATATATTTGGGCATGGATACCCATGTACACAAACCAACACACCCACACTCACTGAAAAGTCACTAGAAGAAATTCAATAAAATATTAGTAATGGTTTCTTTGGATGATGAAATTATGGGTGGTTTCCATTTTATTTTTAAAACCACTTATTTTTTTATTTTTTTTACTAGTTTTTTAATTTTATTTTAACTTCTCAATGTACATTGTAGTTGATTTTTGTGTCCCTTTACCCATGCCTCTTTCCTCCCTCCCTCACTCCACCCCCCACTACATCATATGTGTTCACTTGTCTTAACAAGTTCAAGGAATTGTTGTGATCATTGTGTCTTCTTCCCCCCTCCACCCTTTCTTTGTTTGTATACTTATTTATTTATTTATTTATAGCTCTGACAAATAAGTGAGAACATGTGGTATTTCTCTTTCTGTGCCTGACTTGTTTCACTT